TGTAGCAATATTATTTCAAGAAATGACAAGTATTCAAAGGGTGTGAAACACATAAAATTAAAATACATGGTCGTAAAAGAAGAAGTGAAGAAATAAAGTGTCATTTGAGCATTTTAGTACTAATTGCATGAAAGTGGATCCATTAAAGAGTTATTCCCTATAGCCTTTGCAAGACATATCAAGAAAATTGGAAACAACGAATGGGGCCTTGTTGGACTGATCGGTACTGAATGGAATTGCTCAATTAATGATTTCGGCACTTATTGAATTCAATTAAAGATGTTTGATTCTTCACATATAATATCATCATTATGGTTATTTGATTTTATAGTATATACATAAAAGTAGATGACTTATAGTTATGGTACGAATGGTTTATTCCATATAAAAGTAAAGTTGAATTAGAAATGATTGTGGTACATGGAAGGGATCATGTCGCTCGAAGACTTGTGACCGCCATGACTCAGTTAATTTCTATTTTGATTTTAAACTTATTGATATATGTATTCAATCATAAGTTTGATGAAAGGTGCGCGCCTAAAGTAGTTCTTTGGGTTTCGACACTATATGGTCCAAGTGGGAGAATGTAATAATATTTTATATTATTCTATTATTGTGGACCATATAATTAGTTGAAACTAATTGAATTAATAGTCAAACTTAATTAAGGAGAATATGTATTTAATGGATTATTTATGTTCTAATATTAAAGAGTCTAATTTGTGATGTTTGACTTGGACAATAAGTTAGGTTAAAACATGAGAAATGTTAGTATGATTAGGATTGTAGGTCTCCTCCTATATATATTACTACATGCCCCTCTCTCCCATCTCATACGAAATAAAGTTCTCAACATTAAGGGCTTTATGGAAAGACGAGAGACGCGGGAGAGAGAAACAATTCATAGACAAAGACAAATTCATTATGGAGATTGCAGGAAGAGGATCCATCATTGGAGAAGAGGATCATATCAAGATCATAGATCAAGAAAACAGGGAATAACTATAGCTGGATTCTTTTAAGTTTCTGTGTGCAATTTAATTTATGCAAAGATCCATGTTCTATGAATTAACAGAATTACATGCTTAGGGTTTATTCAATTCTGCCTAACAGTAGTGAATATACTGTTAAATTTCTTACAGCTCTGTTTATATCATTTAAAACTGGAGCCTCGTCGTTTATTTCTCCGAGCCTGCCGCTCTTTTATTTCTGGAACCGTGTGTTTTCATTTTATTTTTATTTTCACGAACCAATTAAACCCGATTTCTTTTAGATTTTTCGAACTCTGAATTTGATAATATTTTTGTAGAATATTATGGAAATTTTGAGAACCGGGTTCCCGAGCGATCATCGTCAAAGGTCATTATCGGATTAATTATTTATGTCGCGAGCAGATACACCAGGCTCCTTCCTTTCAGTCCGCAAGATTCTGTGCGTTAAATAAAAATTTATATGTTTGATAATTGATATGTATATAATCATTTAATCTAGAAATGCTAAATGAAAGAAAACTTATTTCAAATTCCATAATTATTCATTTAATATAATTGGCAGCAAAGTATGTTGTATTTTTTTTTTTTTTAAAAAAAAAACCTGAAATGAGGCCCATTTTATTTTATCTCCCGCGACCATTATTTTTTCATTTTTTCACGAACCCTTTGACCATTTTTCGATTGTTCGACCTCGTTTTTCGTGTCGAGTTCATTTTTTTAATGTTCTTTTTAATGATATTTCCGAGGCTAGTCGTCAAACCTAAGTGTTCCAACTTCCACAAAGTTCACGAACTACTTAGTCGACTACGTTCGACTAAGTATAAATTCTCGTGATTAATTCTAACTATCAAGGTAGTGTATTTATGAGACTAGGTTGATAAAATGTAGGTGTCTGACGAGTTGAAATCTCAACCTACTCCGTTGATCGAGCATTTTTCCTGCTTAATTTTGTAACAGCCCAGCCAACCCGTAGTAGAATATTGTCCGCTTTGGGTATACACCAGATCATTCCCTCACGGTTTTGCCTTTGGGAGCTAGTTCACCAAATAGCGTCCTACTAGTGAAGGTATCCACAGCCACTTATAAGGCATGCTTCGTTCTCCTTCACAACCGATGTGGGATATCTGGATCCACCCCCCTTGGAGGGCCCAGCGTCCTCGCTGGCACATCGATCTGGGTACTGGCTCTGATACCACTGTAACGGCCCAGCCAACCCGTAGTAGAATATTGTCCACTTTGGGTATACACCAGGATCATTCTCTCACGGTTTTGCCTTTGGGAGCTAGCTCACCAAAACGCGTCCTACTAGTGAAGGTATCCACAACCACTTATAAGGCATGCTTCGTTCTCCTTCACAACCGAGTCAATTCTAGTAACTAATCTCAGTCTGTTTATTTAATAAATGGACAATATTGAGTTTCAGTTTATGTTTGACTAATAGTCGATCAAATATTCGGATTATTGTTTAGTACCGAATAAGTTTCTGATTTTAATTCCAATTCGTTTATATAAAATGGGCACGTTAGACGAGGGGGTGTAATAATTAAAGTGCCTGACAGATGGGACGTGTGGCAAAAAAGCGGGTGCGACAGAAAGAACAGGTGGCAGAAGACTTTATCTCTTGCAATTAATGAGGAATTGATTGAAAAGAGCGGGCGGGAAACTTACTAGATGGTCGATATTTGACGTCATACCATCCAGGAGAGCGATGAGCATGAATTCACTCTTAGATCGAGTCATCCAGACTCGACCAGAGTGGGGGGACTAAATGATATAGGATATTATACCTACCAGGCTAAACTGATCTGCTGAACCGGTCGGAGAGGCCGTACTATAAAGGAACCAAGCCAAGTGGCAGGAAGATCGAGCAGCCAACCTGTCGACCAGTCAAGCAGTCGACCAACCCATCACTCGACCAGATAAGTGATCGAACAACTTATTCGACCTTAACAGGTCGATCACCTTGCAGACTTGACGCTCTAATGGATCGGCCTAGTCACAGGTGCGTGTAAGAGCCTCTAACCGAATTTCAGGAGAATATTTACCCCATGTGCACGAGGACACGTGTCGAGAATGTAGTGGTTGATAGCGATAACCACCTCTGACAGCTCCCAACGCCCCGCGCCACCTCTTACATGTGCCCGGCGTGTCAGAGTACGGACGGGCAGTTTGGGCAGCCAGCTCACCTTATCCGAGCAGCTATTAGGGCAGGTATCTCACCCCTATATAAAGGGGGTGAGCCTTTCTCCCTTAACACGATTTTTCCATTATTCACTTCAGTATACTCGTACAAATACTGACTTAAGCATCAGAGGCTCTTCACCGGACACAACCCCTGGAGTGAGAGTTATTTGCAGGTTTCCGACGTTCTACCGGTGAGGACAAGAATCGATCTATTCCGAACTAAACTAGGGCATTCACACCTGCATTATTGGCGCCGTCTGTGGGTACTTTGTTCGAAAAGTTGTGTTTGAAGCTCAGCTATGGCGGACGGAATTCCGAGAACTAACTTTCAGTCGACGTTCGACGACGCTTGGACAACGGCCAGGCCGATGGGGCAAGGCCCTCCTCTGGGTTTCTCTGGCCTTTCGCAGACGCCGGTCACTCCTACACCCGTCCTTCAAGGTGTGGGAGCATCTATGGCGATTCCCGGAGGAGATGCCAGCTCCAGTCGTGCCCAGGAGGCTCGCGCAGCAGCTGCGGCGGCGATGCCACCGCCGCCGCCCCAAAACCCAGTGGTGGCGCAACCAGGAGGAGCGATGATACAAGGAGGTGTGGCGGCATAAGGAGGAGCACCATCGCATGTCGTTGTACAAGCTCCCGGTCAACAGATGGTGACGATGACCAGGGAGGAGATGCAGAGGATAGTGGCGGCCGCGGCGGTGCAGCAAGTCACGAGCCACACATCTCACGCCACCACGGCGCCGACCACGGTAGTAGGAAGCCAGGATGAGGACGTGTCCAGTTATGGAGATGGAGGAGGTGGAAGAGATCGTGCGATGGAGAGGATGGCGGAGCAGTTGCGCCAGTTGCAGGACAAGGTTGAGGGGAGGCCGGAGAGGAGAGCTCGAGGACATCCTTTCTCGAGGGAGATTCTTGCTGCTCCCTTACCGAATAATTTCAAGGAGACTAATTTGGTGTATGACGGGTCATCTGACCCATCGAGGCATGTGAGGACCTTTGAGAATATTGTTGTGTTACATGGATATTCTAATTCTGTATGTTGCGGGCATTTCTATCGACCTTGCGCGGAGGAGCACTTGACTGGTTTCATTAGTTACCCCCTGGGTCGATCGCGGATTTTGAGGATTTTTCTAGTAAGCTTACCAATCAATACTCGAGCGCGGTGGTGCAGGAGAAAACATATCTGACTCTGATGGCGATGAGGCAGGGAGAGAAGGAGTCGTTGAGGTAGTATGTTGCTCGATATAATCAGACATGTTTGGAAGTGCACTCAGCGTCGGATGAGGTGAAAGCGGGAGGATTGATAAGGAGTCTTTGAGCGGGGCCTTGTCGAACCTCCCTGGCAAAGACCCCTGCTCGATCATATGAGGATGTTTTAAAGCGATGCATGATGTACATTAATCTGGAGGAGATGGAGGTGGTGTTTGAAAAATTGGAGGGGGCAGCTCGACCAGAGTCAAAGAAAGAGAAGAGCCCACCAAGGGGAAGGTTGCCGAGGAGCAGTTTGCCCAAAAGGAGTGGGCCGAAAAGAACATCACCCATGAAAGAGGGTTGAGATTCAAAGCAGACGAGAAGGGATGACAGGTGGCTGGGGAGGCCATTGTCGTTCGAAAGGCAGAGGTACCATAATTTTACACCCTTGAGAAAAGATTTGACAGAAGTGCTCGAGGCTATGGAGCTGAAGATGTCGAGCGAGGATCTGACGTGGCCTAAGACGAGGTTTACAGGCCCGATTCGACCCAGGTCAGATATCTACTGTCGTTTTCACCGAGATTACGGCCATACCACGGAGAACTGTAGGCATTTGAAGGATGAGATTGAGAGACTGATTCGAGCGGGGCACTTGAAAGAGTTTGTGTATCATGATAGGGCTAAGGGGAAAGGAAATAGGAGATGCTGGGAAGATTCAGAGGAGAGGAGTGATAGAGATGATGAGGGGGATGATAGGGATGGTCGAGATGGTCGAGGGAAGAATTTGAGGAGAGATAGAGATAAGAGAAGACACGGAGGCGAAGCTCCTATGAAAAGAGGGACATTTTATATGATTTCAGAAGGACAGACGGATGTTGACTCGAATAAGGCCAGGAAGGAGCATGCTCGAGCAGTGAAAAGGAAGAGAGAGGAGGTGGGGATTACGACTCGCATGCTGGTGATAAGTTTTAAAGTGGAGGATGCTGAAGGAGTGGTCTTGCCGCACAATGACGCTTTGGTGATCACTGTGGAGGTTGCGGACTTTGATGTGAAGAGGGAGCTTATTGATACCGAGAGTTCGGTAGACGTGATGTTTTATGATTGTTTGTGCAGATTAATAAGGAGCAAGATATGGAGTTGAAACCGGTGGCCACGGCGCTTTACGGCTTCAATGGAGGAGAGGTGATGCCGATGGGCGAGGTGAGTTTGCCGGTGGCATTAGGAGTAGGAGAGACGAGGAAGTTACGGATGGTAAGGTTTGTGGTAGTGGGAGCTGAATCGTCTTACAACATCATTATGAGGCGGACGAGCTTGAACGCGTTCCAGGCGGTCGTATCCATGTACCACATGACGACCAAGTATCCTGTGGGCGAAAACATTGGTGAGATTGCTGGAGATCAACTTACTTTGAGAAGCTGCTACCAGACGACGGTGAGCGGCGAAGAGACAGGCCAAGACGAAGGAGGAAGAGATTAACAGACCATGTGGATCGAGGACGAAGGAGGATAGGCAGAGAGTGGAGAAGGGTAAGGAGAAGGTGGATATCCAGCCATGATGAGAGGTGGAGGAAATCCAGATGGTCGAAGGATATGAGTAGAGGAAGTTTAGAATTGGGAAAAATTTGGAGGAGCCTATCCGGTCGGAGTTGATCGATCTGGTTATGGAGTTTGTTGATATTTTCGCTTACACAGCGGAGGAATTGACAGGGATAAGTGCGAAGGTGATCGAGCATCGTCTAAACATCGACCTAAGTGTGAGGCCGGTGAAACAAAAAAAGAGACACCACGGGGCGGAGATGGACAAAATCATTGAGAAAGAGGTCGAGAAGTTATTGGGAGCGGGGCATATCAAGGAGATTCAGTTCCCCGAGTGGTTGTCAAATACGGTGATGGTGTCAAAGGCGGAGGGGAAATGGAGAATGTGCATTGATTTCCGTGATCTAATCAAAGCATGCCCGAAGGATTAATATCCATTACCCAGAATCGACCAGCTGGTCGACTCAATTGCGGGGTGTGAATTGCTGAGCTTAATGGATGCCTTCCAGGGGTACCACCAAATTCCCTTGGTGAGAGAAGATAGAAAATGGGTGAGTTTCGTAATGAGTCGGGGCACCTATTGTTACGTGGTGATGCCATTAGGCCTGAAAAACGCGGGTGCCACGTATCAAAGGTTGGTCGAAAATTTTTTTAAAGAACAGCTTGGGAGGAATATGGAAGTATATGTGGATGATATGTTGGTGAAGAGTAAGAAGGAGATGGACCACGTGCGGAACTTGAAAGAAATGTTCTTAACATTGAGGAGGTATGGGATGAAGTTAAACCCAGCCAAGCACACTTTCGGGGTAAAGTCAGGAAAATTCTTGGGTTACTTGGTGACCAAGAGAGGTATTGAGGTGAATCCGGAGAAGGTGCGAGCAGTGATGGAGATGAAGTCACCGACAAATGTTAAGGAGGTACAAATCTTGGCTGGTCGAATTGCGGGGCTGAGTCGTTTTATATCGAAAGTGGTAGAGAAGAGTGACCCATTATTTAAAACACTGAAGAAAAGTGCGAAGTTTCAGTGGACGGAGGAGGCACAAAGGGCATTTGAGGAGTTACGAGGAGTGTTAGCCAATCTTCCCCTGTTGGCCAAACCAGTACAAGGTGATGATTTGGTACTGTACATTTCTATCGGGGAGAGGGCTGTGAGTTCGGTATTGCTGCAAGAGGAAGGGGTAGCACAATTTCCCATCTATTACGTGAGTAGGGTGATGCAGGGAGCGGAGATGAGGTACTCGGAGATTGAAAAGTGTGCTAGAGCTGTGGTTGTAACTGCTCGAAAGCTGAGGCCTTATTTCTTGAATCATAAGGCGAAGGTGCGGACAAACATGCCGTTGGGAGAAACGCTGGGCCGACCATCAGTTTCTAGTCGATTGGTAAAATGGGCGGTCGAGTTGAGTGAATACTCGTTGTTGTATGAGCCGAGAAGGGCTATAAAGGCGCAGGTGTTGGCCAATTTTATTCAGGAAGGCACTAAGGTCGAGGAGGAGTCTGGAGGAGTATGGCAATTATTTGTGGATGGATCTGTGGCAAGAAGTGGGGCCGGATTAGAAATTGTCCTTGTCTCTCCTAAAGGCGATTACTTAGAGTTCTCTGCCAAGGTGGGGTTCAAGATATCCAATAACGAAGTCGAGTATGAGGCGGTTATCAAAGGTCTGAATTTAGCCAGGGCGGGAGGAGCCCAAAAAGTGCAAGTGCATTCTGATTCGCAACTGGTGGTCGGGCAGTTTCAGGAAGGGTTCGAAGTTAAGGAGGACCGAATGCAGAAGTATGTGGATGAGATAAAGAAGTTGAAAGAGGAGTTTGACTCATTCGAGCTGATACAGATCCCTCGAGGGGAGAATGGCCGAGCAAATTTGTTGTCAAAAATTACCCAAAGTTTGGTGGACTGTAAGAGAGGAGTGTGACTCTGTTACATTTAAGAGAAGTGTGGTCGAGGCGGAAGTGGTGGAGATTGAGGAAGTGAAAGATTGGAGGGCCCCGATTTTGAAAGAGTTGAAGGAGGGGACGGTAAAAGCAGTGAGAAGATTTTTTGAGCACGGAGGCATTCTTTATAAACGGTCGTATGCTGGGCCGTAGTTACGCTGCGTGACTAAGGAAGAGGGTCGATACATGGTGAGAGAAGTACACGAGGGGTACTACAGCGACCATAGCAAGTCAGGAGCCCTAGTTGCGAAAATTCTTAGGACAGGATACCTTTGGCCGACGATGAAGGAGGATGCGAAATCGATGGTGAGAAAATGTTTACAGTGCCAGAAGCACGGCCCGCTTATCCATCAACTGGCAGAAGCAATGACAACAATGATTGCTCCGATACCATTTTCCTAGTAGGGAATCGACCTTGTGGGGCCAATGCCACAAGGAACTGGGCAGAGGAAGTTCTTGATTGTGGCAGGAGATTATTTCACAAAATGGGTGGAGGCCGAGCCCCTGGCCAAGATCACGGAGGAGAAAGTAATCAAATTCGTATGCAACAAGATTTGCTGTAGGTTTGGCGTTCCTAAAGTGTTGATATCCGACAACGGTACTCAATTCAATGGCAAGCGGATTCAAGCATGGTGTGAGGACATGAAGATCGAGCAACTCTTTGCCTCTGTCGCTCATCTGCGAGCCAATGGTCAGGTCGAGGTGACCAACCGAATTATACTAAATGGGCTGAAAACGAGGCTGGAGAAGGCCTCGGGGGCATGGGTTGACGAGTTAACTTCAGTACTTTGGGCATACCGCACAACCCCGAGGTCGAAAATAGGAGAAACTCCCTGCAGTTGAGTCTACGGGATGGAGGCACTGCTGCCAGTTGAGGTCGAGTTATCATCGCAAAGGTCGAGCGCATATGACCCGAGGCAAAACGAAGAGCTAATGATGGCGGCTCTAGACACTGTCGAAGAGCTGCACGAAAGAGCAGCGATTAGAGTGGAGGCATACAAGCAAAGGATGCGAGCCGCTCATGACAAAAAAGTGAAAGTTCGCAGACTTCAAGTAGGCGACCTGGTTTGGAAACGTGTCGATGTGCTCAAACATGTGGGAAAGCTAGAGCCGAACTAAGAGGGGCCATACCTGGTCTAGCGAGTGCACGCAGGAGGAGCGTACTCGCTGAAGGATGCAGAAGGCTGATCACTTGCCAGGTCATGGAACATAGCTAATTTGAAAAAATATTATGTGTAAATTTTTTTGCTTTTTTCAAAGAGAGCTAGAGAATTTGAACAAGAATGTAAATTGCAAAGGTTGCTAAAAAAGTTAATGAAATTCAGTTATCCTTCCGTATTACTTGCTTTATTGCACATTTTCTTATGCTTGGAATGTTGGTATGGTCTGGATGACAGGGTGTATATGGTGTGGTTTAACTTAGAAGTCGATGGTTTAGAACATCCCTTGGGGTGGGCAGGTTGGTCGATTACTCACGCCCTCGGGCTGGGTGGCCTCCTGTTTGGAACATTCCTCGTGGGTGGGCAAGTGTGAAGGCCAAAACCCACCATGACTAAGGCCCTCGGGCTGGATGATCGCTTGTTTAGAACATCCCTTGGGGTAGGCATGTTGGTCCATTACTCACGCCCTCGGGCTGGGTGGCCTCCTGTTTGGAACATTCCTCGTGGGTGGGCAAGTGTGAAGACCAAAACCCACCATGACTAAGGCCCTCGGGCATGGTGGTCGCTTGTTTAGAACATCCCTTGTGGTGGGTAGGTTGGTCTATTACTCATGCCCTCGGGCTGGGTGGCCTCCTGTTTGGAACATTCCTCGCGGGTGGGCAAGTGTGAAGACCAAAACCCACCATGACTAAGGCCCTCGGGCTGGGTGGTTGCTTGTTTAGAACATCCCTTGTGGTGGGTAGGTTGGTCTATTACTCATGCCCTCGGGCTGGGTGGCCTCCTGTTTGGAACATTCCTCGCGGGTGCGCAAGTGTGAAGACCAAAATCTACCATGACTAAGGCCCTCGAGCTGGTGGTCGCTTGTTTAGAACATTCCTTGGGGTGGGCAGGTTGGTCGATTACTCACGACCTCAGTCTGGGTGGCCTCCTTTTAGGAACATTCCTCGCGGGTGGGCAAGTGTGAAGACCAAAA